AAGAAATTTTCAAACTAGATAAAAAGAGTTATGTTTTGACTTTGTTAAAAATGAATTGGAAATCTTATTGCATGGTAATGATAAACATATGGGTATAGGTTCTCCTGCTTGAGCAGGGGGCTGGACTAGGAGACCTCCAAGGTCCCTTCCAGCTCCTGTTCTGTTCTAGTCTAGTCTAGTCTAGTCTAGAATAGAATAGAATAGAATAGAATAGAATAGAATAGAATAGAATAGAATAGAATAGAATAGAATAGAATAGAATCTGGAAGGGACATTGGAGGCCTTCTAGTCCAGCCCCCTGCTCAAGCAGGAGAACCTATACCATCTCAGACAAGTGACTGTCTAGCCTCTTTTTAAAAATCTCCAATGATGGAGCGCCCACGATTTCTGGGGGCAAGCTATTCCACTGGTTAATTGTCCCCACCGTCAGGATGTTTCTCCTTAATTCCAGGTTGCTTCTCTCTTTGATTAGTTTCCAACCAACTCAAGATTATTAGACCATAAAGGTTCTGATTTGAGATTTGGGTGACACTCCCATTTGTGATATGATAAGGTAAAAGTTAACCCTGGCTTCAAGAATCATGTTATTAGGCAATTGATTGGGTATGTATGGTGGAAGGACAAAATAAGATTGGTTGATAAGTGCCGCTTATGGTAAACACCACATGAAACATTTTATAGAAAAGAGATGCTATTGGAGTCTAAATGAATGACATATCAGGATCTATCGATATTTGAAGAAGAGGGACAACATAAAAACAAGAGAACATTTAGTAAGTGAAGGATTTATTAGTGCTTGGTTTAATTATAGAATTTTTTGAAAGATTTAAATTTGATAAAAAAAAGGTTTGTTTTTGCAGGACAAATCTGAATTGGATATGAATTTATATTCTGGAGAGGACCACCTGATTTCTAAAGTTTTTGCAATGTTATTTAAGATGAATTTGAAAGATGAATATGTTAAAGACTATGGTAAAATGGGCAAAAAATGTTGATTATAACATAATGTTAAACCAATGGGAGAATATATGGACCAATGGTTTAAAATTTACTTTGAATTACAGTTTGAAAGAAAACTTTTATAAAATGATGTATTGCTGGTATTTGACTCTGGACAGAGTGGCAAAAATGTATAGAGGAACTTCCAACAACTGCTGGAAATGCAATCAAATTCCAGGTATATTTTGTCATATGTGGTAGTCTTGTAAGTATGCTTGTGAGAATTGTCACCTCACACCTGCACTTCGCAATCATTCAGTGCCAGTCTGCCATGAGCCCTGGGTGAAGGGTGGGAGGGCGAATGCTTGGGGGAAAGTGAAACTGATGAAACTGATGGAAAGAAGCATGCCTCTCAGAAACAAAGCTTCTAGGTCCTTTCCCTGGGAGTGACTGTTTCAAAAACATCTCTTTTAAAATTGATTGGACGATGGAATGGACCAGCAACGGGAAGTGTCTGGGAGAGAAAAGTTATACCTAGAGACTGGGCACACAAGCTTCAGTTCTGGCTTTGCTTTACTGCATTCTGCTTGATCTTTAGTAAAACAATCTTTAGTCAAGGATCGTTATTTAAAGGTTCCAGCTGATGCAGGCCTGATAGCTAAATCAGATAATGACAATGCAGAAAATATTTAAAATCCAAATATTAATAAAACCTGAAGCCTTTCTTCTAGGTATTATGGACAAATGGATTAAAAAAAAGTTTTAAATGTTGTTTCTTTAAATGGTGACTGCTGCAAGCATTGTTTATGCTAAGCATTGGAAGGAAAAGGGGATGCCGATTGTTGAAGAATGGACTTTAAAACTGAGTCAATTGGCAGAGATGGCAAAATTTAACTATTAATTTATAAAAACTGTTATATAAGAGGAGGAGAACACATCAGATACTTTTGATATATCTGCCAGCATTCAGCCAGGGTAGACTTTTTATGTTCAATGTCAACGTGAATGATATATTCATTATTTGTTCCTTTTTTTATACCCATTTTTTATATTTAGTGTCAGATGGTTGTTAGTTTATTTTCTCCTATTTTTCTCTTATTTTGTATTTTAACTTTGGAAATAAAAAATAAAAAAAATAAAGAATTCTGTCGCTAGGCAAGGCAGTTATGAAGATATTGGTGCCTGATTTTACCACCTTTTTGCCACAGTTGTTAAATGAAACACTGCTGTTGGAAAGGATTTAATGATGGGACATAACATGAAAAAAGATGGAAGAAATATACAAAAAAATCTGCAAGAAAATCAACTTTACAAGACTATCTGTATTCAACAAAAGAATATGTGGAACAACCAACAGTGCTTGAGAGAGAATATAGATGGCCTGTAAACCAACTGATTAATAAGAAAAATTTGAGGGATGAATGAAATCCACAAAAATTTTAAAGAAGATAAGTGGGGAAACAAAAAAGACCATAACAATGCCAACAAACATGAAAAAAAAAAAATCAGGGACCAAAAACTGGAAAAGGCGATAAAAATTGGAAAAGGCCATTTCCCTAAAAAGAGAAAATTCAAGGCATATTCTAATTACAGGATAACAGCCCTAAACCGCATTCCGTTAGAATCCTCTAGACCAGAGTTCCCCAATGTTTCTGGCTTTGAGGACCTGCAGGAGGGCATGGTTCCACGTGAGCAGCTGGCAAGCGCACGCACTGCTCCATTTGTGTGAACGGCGTCCATGTGCACCTGCCGCTCATTTAAAGGGAACATGTGTGCATGCTCCCCCACTGTTCAAGCAAGGATGCGCCGGCCATTTCTGCAGCGCGGTTGCAAATTTTGGGTTTTACTGATTAGATTCATTTTTTGTTATAGAAATGGCTACTGTATAATATTATGGAAAAGTAAAAAATTGAGGTACAATGTTAATGCTTCCTTCTACTGCAACAGAGAAAGTCGGAAGTCATGCCTTTTCTTTTTCCTTTCTCCCTCTCACTTTTTCCCTTTTTTCTTTCACCCTTTGCTCGCAAAAGCCCTTCGGTCTCTCTCTCACACACACATTCTCCCAGAAAGCCTTTCCTGTCTCTCACACACTTCTTCCAGAAAGCGTTTCCTCCATCTCTCTCACACACTTCTCCCAGAAAGCCTTCCCCCCCCTTCTCCTCACCGCTTCTCTGACAAAAGCCTTTTCTCTTCTGTCTCTTTCTCTGGAGTTTTTTCTCTCTCCCTCTCTGGCCAAATCTGCTTCCTTTTATAGCCTCTCCTGTCTCTGCCCCCCTCCTCGTCCTTTCTTTTCCGGGTGTGCCGGAAATGCCAATCCTGGGGCCTTTGTCTTGCCCCAGCAGCCTTGCAGCTCCTGAGGACTCTCTCACCGCAAGTCCTGCACTGTGCCACTGTAGCTTGTTCCCTCCCCCACTACACTTGGCTAGGCTGGGCAGGGTTGCGTACCACCTGCCAGGTGCCAATGTAATACCGGTAGTACATGTACCACTGGTTGAAAAGCCCTGGTCTAGTCTCTTCTTAAAGAGTGATGGAGCACCCATGATTTCTGAAGGCAAGCTGTTCCACTGGTTAATTATCCTCACTGTTCGGAAGTTTTTCCTTAATTCCAGGTTGCTTCTCTCTTTGGTCAGTTTCCAACCATTATTTCTTGTCCTGCCCTCTGGTGGCTTTGGAGAATAATTTGACCCCCTCTTCTTTGTGGCAGCCCCTCAAATACTGGAATACTGCTATCATGTCACCCCTATTTCTTCTTTTCTTTAGACTAGCCCAGTGGTGGCGAACCTATGGCACGTGTATCAGAGGTGGCACTCAGAGCCCTGTTTGTGGGCATGCGTGCCATGCCCTGGAGATGGCAACCGTTCCTCTTCAACCAGCTGCCCGAGGTCCCACGTGGCCAGATGCATCCCGGCACGGCTGGTTTCCCTCCCCCCGGTCCCGTCCCTCTTGGCCCCGCATGCTCTCCTTTTCGCAGGCATGACCCACTGCACCACCTCAACTGTCTGCCAGCTGTCCAGCTCAGAAGCAGCTTCTCTGAACTGCTGGCAGTGGGCTGCGGAGCCCCAGAGGTCGAGGAGCTGGCAGGCTGTGGCTGCTGACAGACACTGTCAACCCCCATGCACTCGCTGGCCTCTGTGTGCGGGGGCCAATGGTGTCAGGCAGCACCTGCCCCGGCCCCTGCCTCGCCTTGCCCCATGGCAATGGCACCCCGCCCTGCCTCGCCTGGCATCTGGTGATAAGTGGGTTTAGGGTTGCAGTTTGGGCACTCGGTCTCTAAAAGGCTGGCCATCACTGGACTAGCCCAACCCAAGTCCTGCAGCCATTCTTCTAGTAAAACTTTGCTTTTCTCCACATTAAAATTCATTTTGTTGGATAGAGCCCATTGTTTGAGTTTGTCAAGATCTTTTTGGATTCTGAGCTTGTCTTCTGGGGTGTTGGGTATTCCTGCCAGTTTAGTGTCATCTGCAGATTTGATGAGATCCCCTTTTATTCCCTCATCTAAGTTATTTATGAAGATATTAAAGAGTATTGGGCCTAAGACGGAGCCTTCTGGTACCCCACTGCTTACTTCTCTCCATGTGGATGTAGTACCATTGAGGAGTACTCGCTGAGTACGGTTTGTCAATCAGCTACAGATCCATATGGTGGTGATATTGTCTATCCCACCTTTTTCTAGCAGCAGGTTGTGGTCTACTTTGTCAAATGCCTTACTGAAATCTAAGTATACTATGTCCACAGCGCTTCGCTGGTCTACTAATTTAGTCACTTTATCAAAGAATGAAATAAGATTGGTTTGGCATGATCTGTTTTTAGCAAACCCGTGCTGGCTACTAGTTATAACTTTGTTTGCTTCTAGTTGTTCGCAGATCTGTTTTTTGATTATCTTTTCACGATCTTCCCAGGTATTGATGTTAGACTGATTGGTCTGTAGTTCCCTGGGTCTGTTTTTTTTCCTTTCTTCAAGATGGGAATATATATGTATACATATATAAAATATCCTAGGAAAATGCAGCACTAAAATTCTTTTTTATTAAAATCAGATCAATTGGCTTATTCTAGTATCACAGAGGATACTAATATTTAATCTATTTATAATGTCATTATTTTGTGTTTGTGCAATCAACATATGCAGTATTTTTTAAAGGGCAAACGAACAAAATGTCAAGAAAATATTTATTATTAGACTTAAAAACACTTGAGGAACATTTTAGTACAAACCTTGTTTTAAGGCAAATGGTCAGGCCTGCAAATTAATGTGGTTTCAGTAATTCAAAGGAATACACTGAACTGAGATTGTTTCAAATTTGTTATATAAAAACAATTAAAAGTGCTTCATGCTTTGATATCCCCTACCCTGAGTGTAATACAGTTCACAGATACAATTTAGCAAATTCTTTACAGCAATACTAGAACTACATACTATTTACAACATGAAGAATTGTAAACAGGGTCTTGTACACTAGAGAGGTATATATAATAGTAAGTTTATGTAAAAACATGTACGTTTTTTCTGCCTTTGTGTCTCATTTAATAGTTTCATATAGTAAAGACACTTTAATTCTTAACATAACCAAAACATATTTAAGAGCAATTGATGAAAAAAAGACTCCAAAACTGAAATTAATTAAAAATGGAGAAAATAATGTTCAACTTCATTTATATATCATTCAAGCAGACTTTCTTCGATTTATCTTCCGATTTGATGTTCTGGTAAAGAAGAATATTTCTACCAACTCGGTTTTAACTGAGATTAAATATCTGAAAATAGTAAATAATGCCGATCCAAATCTTCAAGAAAAAACATGTCAAATATGAAGAATGTTAACATTCACATTTTCAGTTTCTGTGCAATTTGAGCTGGTAGTCTCTGTATGATGGCTTCTAAGGTTACTTGAATATTCGGTATCTGGTTTTTCTAATCTGCTCTTTTTGCTTGTATCTGGGTAGTTCTGTACATATATCACACGATTATAAGCTTTAAGTCTTTTCCACAGCTGTACATAAACTTTGCATTGAACATACATGAAAAGAATTCCACCGGTGAAACCAATAGCTACAACTACTAGTTTAGTCCAAAATGGCCATTCTAGAATACCTGGGGTGCAGAAGGATTCAAAATGCTCAGAATTAGAATTTAAAGTTAAATAAAGCTGTAAGTCACTAGAATATTCAGATACACAACTCTTAAGATAGCAGCAAAAGATTTATATTAAGATCTAAAAACGTTAAACAAGCATTTGAGAGAAATGCATTGGAATATATATATATATTATATATATATATATATACATACATACGCACGCACGCACGCACACACACACACACACACATATACATATAAAGAAAAAGCATGTAATTTGCAATAAATTCAGTCAGCTTCCATTATTTGGAGAGAATACCAAGCTCACTTCTTTAGCAACTATGTTTGTCTCATGTTTATGACTTATTTTGACCAAGCAAACCTAACTTAACTCCCTTTGTACTTGCTAATTGTAAGATGGTATCTCTGTTGTATGCTAAAGGTTACCGCTAAATCATAGCTTTGAGTAGATGAGCTAGAGTTTACCCCTCCTAGCCATTAGTTTATTTTTATTTCATGATCTGAAATTCTGGTTTCAAGTTGCCTTGGTTTGTTGAACTATGATGTATCATAGTTTAATTCTGTTTTGCTATAATGACCTTTTATGGACACTACAAAATATAGGGAGCAGAAGAGATAATCTAAACCACTTTGCCACTTGGTACAGTATATACACAATATAAATAAAAAAATACTCATTACAGCAGTTTCGAGACTTCAGCAAAGAAGAGTCCGCCATCTCTTCAGATTCCACTCACATGACTAAATCTGCCAATACTTTTTCAGATCTTGCCCCCACCCATTCTTTCTCCAACAGATTCCTTTTACCCATCCGTTTCTACAATGATAAAACTGTCCTTCTGCAGTGTGCCCACCTAATTTTGCAGCTACACTGGGAGAAGAGAATATACAAAGAGACACCAGATTATTTTAGTAATATCTTGTATTTCTAGAATGATATAAATAGAAATTCTAATTCACAACTTTTCTCTTAAGAACACACACTCCAATTGGTAAAGCAGAAGAAAAGTTGTAATTGCTTTATTTAGTGGCAGAACTGTTGTACTCATGTAAGTTCAAAAGCACTTGCTCTGGACCGGGACGCTTTACGCACGGTCACTCATGCCCTTGTGACTTCCCGCCTGGACTACTGCAATGCTCTCTACATGGGGCTTCCCTTGAGGAGCACCTGGAGGCTCCAGCTAGTCCAAAATGCGGCCGCGCGGGCGGTGTTGGGAGGGACTCATCACTCCCATGTCACGCCGCTTCTGCGCGAGCTGCATTGGCTGCCGGTAGCCTTCCGGGTGCG